AGGCTGAAAATCTGGGTGCGACTTATACACTGAATACAGCATTTTTTGCCTCCTGAAGCCCCGCCCCCTTCACCAAAATGGTTGTGCAGAGCCTTATGGCAGCTTTCAGAGAGCTCCTGGGGGCTGGGGAGGGCAGAAATGAGTGAAAACCAGGCTGTTTTTTGCTCAATTCTATCCCCCCAGCCCCCAGGAACAGTCTATAAGCCTCCATAAGGCTATGCATGCAATTTTTTTTTGACAGAAAATGGCCCATTTTATGAAACATGGGCCTGTTTTGGTGAAACATGGGCTTGTTTTTGCGAAAAAACGGGGCGTTTTGGGGAGGTTTGCAGAGTGCAAAAACTTTTTTTTTCCTTTCAGAAAGCTGTTAGAGGGATTGATGAGAATTACATTGGTCAAGTGCTCTGCCAGCAGAAACAATGTTTTAGGTGCTACAGGTTGTCAGCGATTTCCTTCTCCATCACATGGATAAATACACCTGGAAACACCTACCTACCTTTTCTCTCTCTCCCTCACTACCTACCTACTATATTTCTCTCTCTCCCCCCCTCTATCTACTATATAGCTACCTACCTACCTACTCTCTCTCTCTCCCTATCTATCTATCTATCTACTGTATTTCTATCTATCTATCCCTCTACCTACCTACCTATCTACACACAATCTCTCTCCCTACCTACCTACTGTATTTCTCTCTCTCTATTATCTATCTATCTATCTACCTACCTATCTATTGTATTTCTCTCTCTTTATCTCCCTCTCTCCCTCTATCTACCTACCTTTTAAAAATATGCCTCTTCAAAACCTGGGTGCATCTTATACTCTGGTGCATCTTATACTCTGAAAAATATGGTAATTGCTGCTGAGAAAATTAGATGGATATGTCCATAGCATCATAAGGAGTCAAGCTGAACTCGAAGGAGTCAAAACCTCAAATAACAAGAATATTGCACATTACGTGAAGAATGTGGGTNTCCATCCTTCCGAGGTGGGTAAAATGAGGACCCAGATTGTTGTTGGGGGCAATACGCTGACTCTGTAAACCGCTTAGAGAGGGCTGAAAGCCCTAGGAAGCGGTATATAAGTCTAATTGCTATTGCTATTGTTGAAAATTTCTTTCATATTTCATCCAGTGTACAGTTTTGTAACCCACATATTGTATGTAAATAAGGAGGTAATTTGCCAGCATTTTAAAAAAAAAACATGAAAAATATTTAAATGAATTCATTTTTCTCTCTCTCTTCCTCTGTTCCAGATAACAAGGCAATAAAATCAGTCTTCAATGATACTACAATAACTTTATCTTGGGACACTGCTGATAATTGTTCATTGAACTATTCATACTGTTGCTTCCAAAATGGTAGGAGGTTTTTTTAAAAGCAATCAGTTGGCATTTGACCTAAAATTAATGGGAAAATCAAAAAGTACTTCACCTTAAAAAAGATAGAGCAATATTATAAAAATGTTTAAAGAATCCGAGTTTTGTGTATGTTCATATAAGAAGTCCTCATTAAGCAACAGACTTTGTGACCAGTCCTAACATTTATGACCTTCAAACATCTGTTAAGCAAAAGAAAGATGAAGAAAGATGGTTAAGCACAGCCTTGGTTTCACTTAGTGACTGCTTCATTTAACAATCAAATAGTGGGTCCCAATTATGGCCACTACATGAGGACTATCTGTAGTACTATTATTTATTATGTGAAATACAACCTTTTGGTAGATTGTCTTTAGAATTATTTCTATTCCATTGTAGATTTATTTATTTTTTCCTCCTTGGAATAGCAAATCATTTTTTCTTCTTTAAAAATCAAATCAAAACTCAGCAGACAAGTCAAAATTCTCAACCCCAGATATTCTTGAGCATTTAAATTTACAGAATTTTCAGCGATGCTTATATAGTTGGGAATTCTAGGAGTTGAAGTTTACACATTGGGAGGACAATTATATCTAGGCTTGGCAAGTATGGAAAATGTAAAATCTCCCAGATGGCCAGAATTACAGGGCAATATTGTTTTAAATTCCTTACAGGTCATACGTGTAGTCCCATTCAACATGACAAGAATAAGCATCAGTTTCAAGTGTTAGCCAACACAAACTACACATGCAATTCATCGATTGAAGTATCAAGATTTGTTGGCAAATCAGTATATGATATACGTAACATAAAAACGGACTATGGAAGTGAGTATCACACCGTGACTTTTAAATATTTTGTTACTTACTGCTTACTGAATTTCCCCAGAAACTTAATATTTCTGCATGTGTTTAAACAGGAAGAGATATTTATTGAGATCCTGGTAACTGATAATTAGTAAGATATATGATTATAATGTTAAATCAGCCAAGTTCATTATAAACAGCCAGGTCCACAGGGAAAATGGAGGCAGAGTTTTCAAGTGTGATCATTCTCCTCAACTTGCACTTTAGTCTTACTGGCCAACATCCGAATAATTTTAATGGAAACTAACTAAACTGATTCATGCCCTAAAAAGATTTTCTCAGAACTATTGGATCGGGCTCAAGGATCACACATCTCTGGTAGGATCTGCTTAGAATCCTGGGAGTGTTTCCATGCCATGAATGCTGTAGAGACATCATAGATACCTGGAAATGCATGGCTTTACTTTTGCCTGGCCAACTGCAGACCAACAAAGTTTTTTAATTAAGTTGAAAAACTCCATAATTAAAGCTCTCTGACCGAAGCATCGGCTGGCTCTTTCATCTCATTATCACAGGATAATGAAATTAAAGAGAATGAATGCAAGATGAGATAGCCATTAAAGATAGGAATGGCAGCCGTTTGTGATTTCCTCCCTTTGTAGGTAACTGCTTCGAAATATTTACTTCTTTTCAAGACTAAAGAAATCATGCATATTAAGTGCGAATATACATTCAACATTTAGTTTAGCCCAAAGCTTTTGAAACATTTATGTTCATGGTCAGCTAAAAGATGATGTATAATGCATAGAATCTTGCTAATTTTTTATTCCTTTCTTCAATTTTTTTTGTTTGGTGCAACAGTATAAATACTGTATGATTAGCTGATATTGAGAACATTAGTAATCTCGGGACTTTAGATTAGATTGTGAAAAGCCTGGAAAAATACAATGGGAACTCAATGCTATTACCGTATTTTTCGGAGTATAAGACACACCTTTTTTCCTCTAAAAAAAGGCTGAAAATCTGGGTGCGACTTATACACTGAATACAGCATTTTTTGCCTCCTGAAGCCCCGCCCCCTTCACCAAAATGGTTGTGCAGAGCCTTATGGCAGCTTTCAGAGAGCTCCTGGGGGCTGGGGAGGGCAGAAATGAGTGAAAACCAGGCTGTTTTTTGCTCAATTCTATCCCCCCAGCCCCCAGGAACAGTCTATAAGCCTCCATAAGGCTATGCATGCAATTTTTTTTTGACAGAAAATGGCCCATTTTATGAAACATGGGCCTGTTTTGGTGAAACATGGGCTTGTTTTTGCGAAAAAACGGGGCGTTTTGGGGAGGTTTGCAGAGTGCAAAAACTTTTTTTTTCCTTTCAGAAAGCTGTTAGAGGGATTGATGAGAATTACATTGGTCAAGTGCTCTGCCAGCAGAAACAATGTTTTAGGTGCTACAGGTTGTCAGCGATTTCCTTCTCCATCACATGGATAAATACACCTGGAAACACCTACCTACCTTTTCTCTCTCTCCCTCACTACCTACCTACTATATTTCTCTCTCTCCCCCCCTCTATCTACTATATAGCTACCTACCTACCTACTCTCTCTCTCTCCCTATCTATCTATCTATCTACTGTATTTCTATCTATCTATCCCTCTACCTACCTACCTATCTACACACAATCTCTCTCCCTACCTACCTACTGTATTTCTCTCTCTCTATTATCTATCTATCTATCTACCTACCTATCTATTGTATTTCTCTCTCTTTATCTCCCTCTCTCCCTCTATCTACCTACCTTTTAAAAATATGCCTCTTCAAAACCTGGGTGCATCTTATACTCTGGTGCATCTTATACTCTGAAAAATATGGTAATTGCTGCTGAGAAAATTAGATGGATATGTCCATAGCATCATAAGGAGTCAAGCTGAACTCGAAGGAGTCAAAACCTCAAATAACAAGAATATTGCACATTACGTGAAGAATGTGGGTCATTTGTATTTTGATTTTCCAAAATCTTCAATAAATTGCAGATTTTGTTGTTGTTATACATTCTCTCTCTCTCTCTCTCTCTCTCTCTCTCTCTCTCTCTCTCTCTCTCTCTCACACACACACACACACACAAACACAGGATAATTAGTCATATTTACTTCCCGGATTTAGCATGGGATGTGTTGACTTTTCATCTCATCCAATCAGAAACCATTGGGAATGATTAACTGCTCTTATAGTCACCAGTAAAAAATGCAACCGATTAGAAATGATGAAAGTTTATGATTCATTGTTCTTGGCCTCAGCTGGCAGGAGATTCTAGAGACCAATGTGTGATTTTTAAAGATATGTATTTTGTGGAAAGAGGAATTTAGTATACTTACCTGCCACCCAACTCTCAACAGAGGCTATCACCATAATCTTATCGTGCACCTAAGGAATGAATATCACCGCTGGGGCAAGTAGAAGTTATAAAAGCAGAGCTGGAATTGAAGTGATAGGTCTATGTGGGTAGTTGACTAACTCAACATAGGACTGGCTGATCTTGTATTCTTATTCTGTTCGGAGTTGATAAACTTGTAAGACCTGAAATTCCTGACATTTTCTGGAAATACAGAATGTTGCACAAATACACAATGTACTGCTTGCCACTGATTCTATTTCCCTTCTGTAAAGCCATGGTAGTCATGGTTTATTTTGCTCATATTCTATTTATTGTTGTCATGTCCCAGAGATCGTTATTTTATCATTACTTGCTTTTCTGTTAATTTTTGTATCAGAGCCAGATACACCTGAAAACTGTTCACCAAAGTCAACTGAAGAAAGTATAAACATTAATTGGAGTGCACCGCAAAACGAGACAAATGGCCCTATTCATGGTTATATAATCAATATAATGAATATTAAAACTGGTGGTACGTATATATACTAATACTATTATTGCTACTGATATGTACTATTGGTATGTATTTCTAATTGTTTGAAAGCACCTACCCATGCATTTTCAGGATTTTTAAAAATAAGATTTTCAAAATTTTCTGAATGGATAATTGTAATTATCTTGATAAGTAGCAGCTCTTGTTTGTTTCTTCTCCTAGTAGTAGGTTTCCTCTATTAATCTCTGTTAATTTCAAGGAAATTTTCAGAGTAGTTTTCTAATCTCTATCACTAACACTGAAAATCGTTTGATTTTGTATTGATTCCTCCATATGGAAGGAGTTCTCTTTTCAGTAGATCCCATGTATCTTGACAGTATTTCAATTAGTAGACAGATGTGGTAGATATTGGTGGAGGACAGTGGTTATTCCTCAGCCACTCCTTCTGGACCTCAAATTATTCCCTTTGTCTTGGAAGGTGGGGCAGTAGATGCCACTCAACCAGTGCTACATCTCAGATATCTGAGGTGAGCCGAGGTGGTTAAATGCAGCACTGCAGGCTACTTCAGCTGACTGCAATTCTGCAGTTTGGCTGTTCAAATCTCACTGGCTCAAGG